CAGGAACTGGCTGGCTGACTGACTGGCTGCTGGCAGACTGACTGGCTGGCAGACTGGCTGGGCAGACTGGCTGGCTGGCACTGGCGGCAGACTGACTGCAGGCAGACTGACTGGCTGGCTGGCACTGACTGGCAGGCAGGCACTGACTGGCAGGCTGACTGACTGGCAGAACTGACTGACTGGCAGGCACTGACTGGCAGACTGAACAGACTGGCTGACTGGCAGACTGGCAGACTGACTGGCAGACTGACTGCAGGCAGACTGGCACTGACTGACTGGCAGACTGACTGGCAGACTGGCAGACTGGCAGACTGACTGACTGACTGGCAGGCAGGCTGACTGGCACTGCAGACTGGCAGGCAGACTGGCAGACTGGCGCTGGCAGACTGGCTGGCAGACTGGCAGACTGGCTGGCAGGCAGACTGGCTGGCAGACTGGCTGGCTGGCAACTGGCTGGCAGACTGGCTGGCAGACTGGCAGACTGGCAGCTGCAGACTGGCTGAGACTTGGCAGACTGCTGCTGACTGGCTGGCTGGCAGACTGGCTGGAGACTGGTGGCAGACTGGCTGGCAGACTGGCGACTGGCTGGCAGACTGGCAGACTGGCTGGCTGGCAGACTGGCTGGACGCTGGCACTGGCAGGCTGGCTGGCAGACTGGCTGGCTGGCAGACTGACTGCAGACTGGCTGGCTGGCAGACTGGCTGGCAGGCAGACTGGCTGGCAGACTGCTGGCAGACTGGCTGGCTGACTGGCAGACTGCTGGCTGACTGGCTGGCAGACTGGCTGGCTGACTGGCAACTGGCTGACTGACTGACTGGCAGACTGACTGGCTGACTGGCACTGACTGGGCACTGACTGACTGGCAGACTGACTGACTGGCAGACTGACTGACTGACTGGCAGACTGACTGACTGGCAGACTGACTGACTGAGACTGACTGACTGGCAGGCAGACTGACTGAGACTGACTGGCAGGCAGACTGACTGGCAGGCAGACTGGCAGGCACTGACTGCAGGCAGACTGACTGGCAGGCAGACTGACTGGCAGGCAGACTGACTGGCAGGCAGACTGACTGGCAGGCAGACTGACTGGCAGGCAGGACTGACTGGCAGGCACTGGCAGACTGACTGCAGGCTGGCAGACTGACTGGCAGGCAGACTGACTGGGCAGGCAGACTGACTGGCAGGCAGACTGACTGGCAGGCTGACTGGCACTGGCAGGCAGACTGACTGGCAGGCACTGACTGGCAGGCAGACTGACTGGCAGGCAGACTGAGGCTGGCAGCAGACTGACTGGCAGGCTGGCAGACTGACTGGCAGGCAGACTGACTGGCAGGCAGACTGACTGGCAGGCAGACTGACTGGCATGCACTGGCTGAGGCAGACTGGCTGACTGGCTGGCGACTGGCTGGCTGACTGACTGGCAGACTGGCTGGCTGACTGGCAGACTGGCAGACTGGCTGACTGGCAGACTGGCAGACTGGCAGACTGGCAGGCTGACTGGCTGGCAGACTGACTGACTGGCAGGCTGACTGGCAGGCTGACTGACTGACTGGCAGGCTGACTGGCAGACTGACTGGCAGACTGACTGGCAGACTGACTGGCAGACTGACTGGGCAGACTGACTGGCAGACTGACTGGCAGACTGACTGGCAGACTGGACTGGCAGACTGACTGGCAGACTGACTGGCAGACTGACTGGCAGACTGACTGGCAGACTGACTGGCAGACTGACTGGCAGACTGACTGGCAGACTGACTGGCAGACTGACTGGCAGACTGACTGGCAGACTGGCTGGCAGACTGACTGGCAGACTGACTGGCAGGCTGACTGGCAGACTGACTGGCTGGCTGACTGGCAGACTGGCTGACTGGCTGACTGGCAGACTGGCTGACTGGCTGACTGGCTGACTGACTGACTGGCAGACTGACTGACTGGCAGACTGACTGACTGGCAGACTGGCTGACTGGCAGACTGACTGACTGGCAGACTGACTGACTGGCAGACTGACTGACTGGCAGACTGACTGGCAGACTGACTGGCAGACTGACTGACTGGCAGACTGACTGGCAGACTGACTGGCAGACTGACTGACTGGCAGACTGACTGACTGACTGACTGACTGCAGACTGACTGACTGGCAGACTGACTGACTGGCAGACTGACTGACTGGCAGACTGACTGGCACTGACTGACTGCAGGCTGACTGACTGGCAGACTGACTGACTGGCAGGCTGACTGACTGGCAGGCAGACTGACTGGCAGGCTGACTGACTGGCAGGCAGACTGACTGGCAGGCAGACTGACTGGCAGGCAGACTGACTGGCAGGCAGACTGACTGGCAGGCAGACTGACTGGCAGGCAGACTGACTGGCAGGCAGACTGACTGGCAGGCAGACTGGCACTGGCAGGCAGACTGACTGGCAGGCAGACTGACTGGCAGGCTGACTGGCAGACTGACTGGCAGACTGACTGGCAGACTGACTGGCAGACTGACTGGCAGACTGACTGGCAGACTGACTGCAGACTGATGCAGACTGACTGGCACTGACTGGCAGACTGACTGGCAGACTGACTGGCAGACTGACTGGCTGACTGACTGGCAGACTGACTGGCAGACTGACTGGCAGACTGACTGGCAGACTGACTGGCAGACTGACTGGCACTGACTGCAGACTGACTGGCAGACTGACTGGCAGACTGACTGGCAGACTGACTGGCAGGACTGACTGGCTGGCAGACTGACTGGCTGACTGACTGGCTGACTGACTGGCAGACTGACTGGCAGACTGACTGGCAGACTGACTGGCAGACTGACTGACTGGCAGACTGACTGGCAGACTGACTGGCAGACTGACTGGCAGACTGACTGGCAGACTGACTGGCAGACTGACTGGCAGACTGACTGGCAGACTGACTGGCAGGCTGACTGGCTGACTGACTGGCAGGCTGACTGGCTGACTGACTGGCAGGCTGGCTGACTGGCTGGCTGACTGACTGGCTGGCTGACTGGCTGGCAGACTGGCAGACTGGCAGACTGGCAGACTGGCAGACTGGCAGACTGGCAGACTGGCAGACTGGCAGACTGGCAGACTGGCTGACTGGCAGACTGGCAGACTGGCAGACTGGCAGACTGGCTGACTGGCTGACTGGCAGACTGGCAGACTGGCAGACTGGCAGACTGGCAGACTGACTGGCAGACTGGCAGACTGGCAGACTGGCAGACTGACTGGCAGACTGACTGGCAGACTGACTGGCAGACTGACTGGCAGACTGACTGGCAGACTGACTGGCAGACTGACTGGCAGACAGACTGGCAGACTGGCAGACTGGCAGACTGGCAGACTGGCAGACTGACTGACTGACTGGCAGACTGACTGGCTGGCTGGCTGGCTGGCAGACTGGCAGACTGGCAGACTGGCTGGCTGGCTGGCTGGCAGACTGGCAGACTGGCTGGCTGGCTGGCTGGCTGGCTGGCTGGCAGACTGGCAGACTGACTGGCTGGCTGGCTGGCTGGCTGGCTGGCAGACTGGCAGACTGGCTGGCTGGCTGGCTGGCTGGCTGGCTGGCTGGCTGGCTGGCTGGCTGACTGACTGACTGACTGGCTGACTGGCTGACTGGCTGACTGGCTGACTGGCAGACTGACTGACTGGCAGACTGACTGACTGGCAGACTGACTGACTGGCAGACTGACTGACTGGCAGACTGACTGACTGGCAGACTGACTGACTGACTGACTGGCAGACTGACTGACTGACTGACTGGCAGACTGACTGACTGACTGGCAGACTGGCTGACTGGCTGGCTGACTGGCTGGCTGACTGGCTGGCTGACTGGCAACTGGCTGGCTGGCTGGCTGGCTGGCTGGCTGGCTGGCTGGCTGGCTGACTGGCTGACTGGCTGGCTGGCTGGCTGACTGGCTGGCTGGCTGGCTGGCTGGCTGGCTGGCTGGCTGGCAGACTGACTGACTGGCTGGCAGACTGGGCTGGCAGACTGGCTGGCAGACTGGCTGGCTGGCTGACTGACTGGCTGGCTGGCAGACTGGCTGGCTGGCAGACTGGCTGGCTGGCAGACTGGCTGGCTGGCAGACTGGCTGGCTGACTGGCTGGCTGACTGGCAGACTGGCTGGCAGACTGGCTGGCTGACTGGCTGACTGGCTGACTGGCTGACTGGCTGACTGGCAGACTGGCAGACTGGCAGACTGCAGACTGACTGACTGACTGACTGACTGGCAGACTGGCAGACTGGCAGACTGGCTGACTGGCTGACTGGCTGACTGGCTGACTGGCTGACTGGCAGACTGGCAGACTGGCAGACTGGCAGACTGGCAGACTGGCAGACTGGCAGACTGGCAGACTGGCAGACTGGCAGACTGACTGGCTGACTGGCAGACTGGCAGACTGGCAGACTGGCAGACTGGCAGACTGGCAGACTGGCTGACTGACTGACTGACTGACTGACTGACTGGCAGACTGGCAGACTGGCTGACTGGCAGACTGGCAGACTGGCAGACTGGCAGACTGACTGGCAGACTGGCAGACTGACTGACTGGCAGACTGGCAGACTGACTGACTGACTGGCAGACTGGCAGACTGGCAGACTGACTGACTGACTGGCAGACTGGCAGACTGGCAGACTGACTGACTGACTGGCAGACTGACTGGCAGACTGGCAGACTGACTGGCAGACTGACTGACTGGCAGACTGGCAGACTGGCAGACTGGCAGACTGGCAGACTGACTGACTGGCAGACTGACTGAGACTGACTGACTGGCAGACTGGACTGACTGGCAGACTGGCAGACTGGCAGACTGGCAGACTGGCAGACTGACTGACTGGCACTGGCAGACTGGCAGACTGGCACTGGCACTGACTGACTGACAGACTGGCAGACTGACTGACTGACTGGCAGACTGACTGACAGACTGGCACTGACTGGCAGGCATCAGTCTGCCAGTCAGTCTGCCAGTCAGTCTGCCAGTCAGTCTGCCAGTCTGCCAGTGCCAGTCAGTCTGCCAGTTCTGCCTGCAGTCAGTCTGCCAGTCCAGCCTGCCAGTCAGCCTGCCTGCCAGTCAGTCCAGTCTGCCCCAGTCCCAGTCTGCCAGTCAGTCAGTCTGCCAGTCAGTCTGCCAGTCAGTCATCTGCCAGTCAGTCTCCAGTCATGCCAGTCTCAGTCAGTCTGCCATCAGTCAGTCTGCCATCAGTCAGTCTGCCAGTCAGTCGTCCTGCCAGTCAGTCAGTCTGCCAGTCCAGTCATCTGCCAGTCAGTCAGTCAGTCTGCCAGTCAGTCAGTCTGCCAGTCAGTCCAGTCAGTGCCAGTCAGTCAGTCTGCCAGTCAGTCAGTCAGTCAGTCAGTCCAGTCTGCCAGTCAGTCAGTCATCTGCCAGTCAGTCAGTCAGTCCAGTCAGCCAGTCAGCCAGTCTGCCAGTCAGTCTGCCAGTCTGCCAGTCAGCCAGTCTGCCAGTCAGTCCCAGTCTGCCAGTCCAGCCAGTCCTGCCAGTCAGCCTCAGCCATTCTGCCAGTCAGCTCCAGTCAGTCAGTCTGCCAGTCAGCCTGCCAGTCAGTCTGCCAGTCAGTCAGTCTGCCAGTCAGCCAGTCAGTCTGCCAGTCAGTCTGCCAGTCAGTCAGTCAGTGCCAGTCAGTCTGCCAGTCAGTCAGTCTGCCAGTCAGTCTGTCTGCCATGCCAGTCAGTCTGCCAGTCAGTTCCCCTGCCAGTCAGTCATCAGTCAGTCTGCCAGTCATCTGCCAGTCAGTCAGCCTGTCAGTCTGCCAGTCAGCCTGCCAGTCAGTCTGCCAGTCAGTCAGTCCAGTCTGCCAGTCAGCCTGCCAGTCAGTCAGTCAGTCTGCCAGTCAGTCCAGTCTGCCAGTCTGCCAGTCTGCCAGTCTGCCAGTCTCAGTCCAGTCCAGTCTGCCAGTCAGCCATCAGTCTGCCAGTCTGCCAGTCTGCCAGCCAGTCAGCCAGTCTGCCAGTCCAGCCAGTCTCCAGCCAGTCAGTCTGCCAGTCAGTCAGTCAGTCAGCCAGTCTGCCAGTCAGTCTGCCATCTCTGCCAGTCAGTCTGCCAGTCAGTCTGCCAGTCAGTCTGCCAGTCAGTCCCAGTCAGTCCTGCCAGTCAGTCAGTCTGTCCTGCCCAGTCAGTCAGTCAGTCGCCAGTCCTGCCTGCCAGTCAGCCTGCCAGTCTGCTGCCTGCCAGTCCCAGTCAGCCATCAGTCTGCCAGCCAGCAGTCAGTCAGTCTGCCAGTCTGCCAGTCAGTCCAGTCAGTCCCAGTCAGTGCCAGTCAGTGCCAGTCAGTCCAGTCTGCCAGTCTGCCAGTCAGTCTGCCATCAGTCTGCCAGTCTGCCAGTCCTGCCAGTCAGTCTGCCAGTCTGCCAGTCTGCCAGTCAGCCAGTCAGTCAGTCCCTGCCAGTCAGCCAGTCAGTCAGTCCAGTCTGCCAGTCTGCCAGTCATCCAGTCAGTCTGCCAGTCTGCCAGTCAGCCAGTCAGTCAGTCTGCAGTCAGTCAGTCCAGTCAGTCCAGTCTGCCAGTCTGCCAGTCTGCCAGTCTGCCAGTCTGCCAGTCTGCCAGTCAGTCCAGTCAGTCATGTCTGCCAGTCAGTCCAGTCAGCCAGTCAGTCTGCCAGCCAGTCAGTCAGCCAGCCAGTCTGTCCAGTCTGCCAGTCAGTCAGTCAGTCAGTCAGTCTGCAGCCAGTCAGTCTGCAGTCAGTCAGTCTGCCAGTCAGTCGCTGCCAGTCTGCCAGTCTGCCAGTCGTCAGTCTGCCAGTCAGCAGTCTGCCAGTCAGTCAGTCTGCCAGTCAGTCAGTCTGCCAGTCAGTCAGTCTGCCAGCCAGTCCAGTCTGCCAGCCAGTCTGCAGTCTGCCTGCCAGTCCTGCCAGTCAGTCTGCCTGCCAGTCAGTCTGCCAGTCAGCCAGTCAGTGCCAGTCAGTCTGCCAGTCTGCCATCAGTCTGCCAGCCAGTCAGTCCTGCCAGTCAGTCTGCCAGTCAGTCAGTCTGCCTGCCAGTCAGTCTGCCAGTCCTGCCAGTCAGTCTGCCTGCCCAGTCAGTCTCCAGCCTGCCATCAGTCTGCCAGTCATCTGTCCTGCCAGTCAGTCCTGCCTGCCAGTCAGTCTCTGCCAGTCCGTCTGCCTGCCAGTCAGTCTGCCTGCCAGTCAGTCTGCCTGCCAGTCAGTCTGCCAGTCCAGTCCTGCCATCCTGCCAGTCAGTCTGCCTGCCAGTCAGTCCTGCCTGCCAGTCAGTCTGCCCAGCCAGTCAGTCCTGCCTGCCAGTCAGTCTGCCTGCCATCTGCCAGTCAGCCTGCCAGCCGTCTGCCCAGTCAGCCTGCCAGTCATCTGCAGTCCCTGCCAGTCTGCCAGTCTGCCAGTCTGCCAGTCTGCCAGTCAGTCCTGCCAGTCAGTCTGCCAGTCAGTCTGCCAGTCAGTCTGCCAGTCTGCCAGTCTGCCAGTCTGCCAGTCTGCCAGTCAGTCCAGTCTGCCAGTCTGCCAGTCAGTCTCAGTCTGCCAGTCTGGCCAGTCAGTCCCAGTCAGTCTGCCAGTCAGTGCCAGTCAGTCAGTCTCCAGTCTGTGCCAGTCTGCCAGTCCTGTCCAGTCAGTCAGTCTGCCAGTCTGCCAGTCAGTCAGTCTGCAGTCTGCCAGTCTGCCAGTCAGTCCAGTCAGTCTGCCAGTCTGCCAGTCAGTCAGTCAGTCTGCCAGTTCTGCCAGTCTGTCAGTCAGTCAGTCAGTCAGTCAGTCCAGTCCCCAGTCGCCCAGTCTGCCAGTCTGCCAGTCAGTCTGCCAGTCCTGCCAGTCAGTCTGCCAGTCAGTCTGCCAGTCTGTCTGCCAGTCAGTCTGCCAGTCAGTCTGCCAGTCTCTGCCAGTCAGTCTGCCAGTCAGTCTGCCAGTCCCGTCTGCCAGTCCCTGCCAGTCTGCCAGTCTGCCAGTCTGCCAGTCAGTCAGTCAGTCTGCCAGTCAGTCTGCCAGTCTGCCAGTCAGTCCCAGCCAGTCAGTTCTGCCAGTCAGTCTGCCAGTCTGCCAGTCAGTCTGCCAGTCAGTCCTGCCAGTCTCCAGTCTGCCAGTCAGTGCCAGTCTCCAGTCTGCCAGTCAGTCTGCCAGCCAGTCTGCCAGTCAGTGCCAGTCCAGTCCAGTCAGTCTGCCAGTCAGTCTGCCAGTCAGCCAGTCTCTGCCCTGCCAGTCCAGTCAGCACTGTCCTGCCTCCGTCTGCCTGCCGTCGCCAGTGCCCAGTCAGAGTCTTGCCAGTCAGCCTCCAGTCAGCCAGTCAGTCTGCAGTCTGCCTGCCAGTCAGTCTGCCTGCCAGTCTGCCTGCCAGTCAGTGCCAGTCAGTCTGCCAGTCAGTCTCAGCCAGTCTGCCGCCAGCCTCCAGCAGTCAGTTGCAGTGCCTCAGCAGTCCGCACTGCCAGTCAGCCTGCTGCCAGTCAGTCCAGTCAGCCAGTCAGCCAGTCTGCCAGCCAGTCAGCCAGCCAGTCAGTTCAGCCTGCAGCCAGTCCCAGCCAGCCAGCCAGTGCCAGCCAGCCAGTCTGCCATCCAGTCTGCCAGCCAGTAGTCCGTCTGCCAGTCAGCAGCCTGCAGCCAGTCGTCTGCCAGCCAGCTGCCAGCCCGCCCCCCAGACTGCCAGCCAGCCAGTCTGCCAGCCAGTCTCCAGCCAGCCTTCCATCCAGCCAGTCTGCCAGCCAGTCCCAGTCTGCCAGCCCGCCTGCCAGCCAGTCAGTCTGCCAGCCAGTCTGCCAGCCATCAGTCTCCACCAGTCAGTCCCTGCCATCAGTCAGTCTGCCAGCCAGTCAGTCTGCCAGCCAGTCAGTCTGCTGCACTGGTCTGCCAGTCTGCTTCCAGCCAGTCAGATCTGCCTGCCAGCAGTCTGCCTGCCAGTCTGCCTGCCAGTCAGTCTGCCAGTCTGCCAGTCGGCCATCTGCAGTCCCGGCTGCCTGCCAGTCTGCCAGTCAGTCTGCCAGTCTGCCAGCCCGCCTGTCAGTCTGCCGCCTGCCATCTGCAGTCCTGCCAGTCGTCAGCCACAGTCTGCCAGTCAGATCAGGTCATCTGCCAGTCTGCCAGTCTGCCAGTCTGCCAGTCTGCCAGTCAGTCTGTTGCCAGCCAGTCAGTCAGTCTGCCAGTCCTGCAGTCAGTCATTCAGTCTGCCCGTCAGTCCGTCAGTCAGCTGCAGTCTGTCTGCCTGCCGCATTCAGTCAGTCCAGTCAGGTCTGCCTGCAGTCAGCCTATCTGCTGCCGCATAGTCTCCTGCCTTCTGCCTGCTGCCATCCAGTCATTCTGCCTCTGCCTGCCTGCCAGTCCAGTCAGTCTTGCTGGTGCAGTCATCTTTGCCGCTCCAGTCATCAGTGCAGTTGCCAGTCTGCTGTCAGTCCTCGTCTCCAGCTGTCCTGCCTCCGTCAGATCAGTCCTGCCACTGCCAGTCAGTCACAGTCCTGCCATTCTGCCAGTCATTCCTCTTCTTCCAGTCTGCCAGTCATCAGTCAGTCCTGCCCGTCTGCCAGTCTGCCAGTCTGCCAGTCTGCCAGCCAGTCATCAGTCTGCCAGTCAGTCTCCAGTCATCGCCATCTGCCAGTCGTCGGTCCAGTCAGTCTGCCTCAGTCTGCCCAGTCAGTCTGCCAGTCAGTCTGCGTCCAGTCTGAGTCCTGCCAGTCTGCCAGCTGCCAGTCAGTAGCCATTCCCAGTCAGTCTGCCAGTCTGCCAGTCAGTCTGCCAGTCGTCTGCCAGTCTGCCAGTCTCTCTGCCAGTCAGTCTGTCCAGTCAGTCTGCCAGTCAGTCTGCCAGTCAGTCAGTCCTGCCAGTCCGTCTGCCAGTCAGTCTGCCAGTCAGTCTGCCAGTCAGTCTGCCAGTCAGTCTGCCAGTCAGTCAGTCTGTCTCTGCCAGTCAGTCCTCTGCCAGTGTCCAGTCAGTCTGCCAGTCAGTCCAGTCAGTCTGCCAGTCAGCCTGCCAGTCAGTCTCCATCAGTCTGCCAGTCAGCCTGCCAGTCAGCCTGCCAGTCAGCCTGCCAGTGCCAGTGTCCAGTCAGCCAGTCAGCCAGTCTGCCAGTCAGGCCTGCCAGTCAGCCTGCCAGTCAGCCAGTCAGCCAGTCTGCCAGTCAGCCAGTCGCCAGTCAGTCAGCCGCCATCCTGCCAGCCTTCTAGGGGAAGGGGAGATTTGAGAGGGATGGCATAGGAGTAGCGAAAGGGGATAGTCAAATAGGAGCGGTGGCAGGATGGTGTGATGAAGGGAACGGGGGCGTGGCAGTTCAGTTGCCTGCCAGTCAGTTTGGCCTGCCAGTGTGTTGCAAGGGTCTGGCCAGTCGTCTGTCCTGCCGGTACTGCCTGGAGTCAGGCCTGCCAGAGTCTGCCTGAAGCGTCCTGCAGGATGCGAGCGTCCTACTGCCTGCCAGTCCGTGTCTGCGGGGTAGTGGGCCAGTCAGTGGGGTGCCAGTCAGTAGTCCTTCATCCCTCCATTAGTCATCTGCCAGTAGTCATTCTCCATCAGTCAGCCGCATTCTGTCGTCTCCATCATCAGCTGCCAGTCAGTCAGTCTGCCAGCCGTCAGCCAGTCAGCCTGTCATCAGCCAGTCGCCCAGTCAGTCTGCCAGTCTCTGCCAGTCATCTGCAGTCAGCCGGCCTTCAGTCTTGCCAGCCAGTCAGTCTCCAGCCAGTCAGTCTGCCATCAGCCCAGTCAGCCAGTCAGTCTGCCCAGCCAGCTCAGTCTGCCAGCCAGTCAGTCTGCCAGCCAGTCAGTCGCCAGCATCAGTCAGTCAGTCTGCCATCTGCCAGTCATCATCTGCCGTCTGCCAGTCATCATCATCTGCAGCCAGTCAGCCAGCCAGCCCTGCCTGCCAGCCCATCTGCCAGTCTGTCAGTCTGCCAGCTTCCTGTCGCCAGTCAGTCAGCCAGTCTGCCAGCTGCCAGCCAGTCAGTCTGCAGTCTGCCATCGTCAGTCAGTCTGTCACAGTCCAGTCAGTCAGCCAGTCCTCCAGCGGCCGTCTGCCAGCCAGTCTGCCAGCTGCCAGTCATTCCGCCATTCTGTCTGCAGCCAGTCTGCCATCTCCTTCGCCAGCAGTCAGTCAGGGCCAGTCCTGCCAGTCAGTCTGCCAGTCTGCCCGTCCTGCCAGTCTGCCAGCAGCCCTGCCAGTCTGCCCTCCTTCCAGTCCGTGCCTCAGTCTGCCGCAGTCTGCCAGTCAGTCTGCCTGCCAGTCTGCCCTGCCAGTCTGCCTGCCAGTCTGCCAGTCTGCCAGTCCTGCCAGTCAGTCTGCCAGTCTGCCATCATTCAGCCGCCGTCTGCCATCTGCAGTCAAGTCAGCCAGCCATTCAGCCAGCCTGCAGTCCAGTCAGCAGCCCAGTCACCAGCCTGCCAGCCAGCCTGCCAGCCAGTCAGCCCTCCAGCCAGTCACCTGCCTCAGCCAGTCGCCGCCAGCCAGCCAGTCAGAGCCTGCCATCAGTCATCCAGCCGTCAGCCAGCCTGCCAGCAGTCGCCAGCCAGCCGCCATCCTGCCCGCCAGCCTGCCAGCCTGCCAGCCAGCCTGCCACAGCCATCTGCCAGCCAGTCAGTCTGCAGCCGTAGCCTGCCAGCCAGTCATTCTGCCCAGCCAGTGCAGCCAGCCCAGCCAGCCCAGCCAGCCTGCCAGCCAGCCAGCCTGCCAGCCAGTCATCTGCCAGCCACCAGTCTGCCAGCCATTCAGTGCCAGCCAGTCATCTGCCAGCCAGCTGCGCCAGGTGCCAGCCCCAGACAGCCAGTCTGCCAGCCAGCCAGTCTGCCAGCCAGCCAGCCAGCCAGTCTGCCAGCCAGTCTGCCTGCCAGCCAGCCAGTCTGCCAGCCAGCCAGCCAGTCTGCCAGCCAGTTCAGCCAGCCAGTCTGCCAGCCAGTCTGCCAGCCAGCCAGCTGCCAGCCAGTCTGCCTGCCAGCCAGCCAGTCTGCCAGCCAGTCTGCCTGCCAGCCAGTCTGCCAGCCAGCCAGTCTGCCAGCCAGTCTGCCAGCCAGCCAGTCTGCCAGCCAGCCAGTCTGCCAGCCAGCCAGTCTGCCAGCCAGTCTGCCAGCCCAGTCTGCCAGCCAGTCTGCCAGCCAGCCTGCCAGCCAGCCAGTCTGCCAGCCAGCCTGCCAGCCAGCCAGTCTGCCAGCCAGCCTGCCAGCCAGCCAGTCTGCCAGCCAGCCTGCCAGCCAGCCAGTCTGCCAGCCAGCCTGCCAGCCAGCCAGCCTGCCAGCCAGCCTGCCAGCCAGCCAGTCTGCCAGCCAGCCTGCCAGTCCAGCCTGCCAGCCAGCCTGCCAGCCAGCCAGTCTGCCAGCCAGTCAGTCTGCCAGCCAGTCTGCCAGCCAGTCAGTCTGCCAGCCAGTCCTGCCAGCCAGTCAGTCTGCCAGCCAGTCTGCCAGCCAGTCTGCCAGCCAGTCTGCCAGCCAGTCTGCCAGCCAGCCAGTCTGCCAGCCAGTCAGCCAGCCAGCCAGTCTGCCAGCCAGTCCAGCCAGCCAGCCAGTCTGCCAGCCAGTCAGCCAGCCAGCCAGTCTGCCAGCCAGTCAGCCAGCCAGCCAGTCTGCCAGCCAGTCAGCCAGTCAGCCAGCCAGTGCCAGCCAGCCTGCCAGCCAGTCTGCCAGCCAGTCTGCCAGCCAGTCAGCCAGTCTGCCAGCCAGTCTGCCAGCCAGTCTGCCAGCCAGTCTGCCAGCCAGTCCTGCCAGCCAGTCTGCCAGTCTGCCAGCCAGTCTGCCAGTCTGCCAGCCAGTCTGCCAGTCCCAGTCTGCCAGTCTGCCAGCCAGTCTGCCAGTCTGCCAGCCAGTCTGCCAGCCAGTCTGCCAGTCGTCTGCCAGCCAGTCTGCCAGTCTGCCAGTCAGTCTGCCAGCCAGTCTGCCAGTCAGTCTGCCAGTCATCAGTCTGCCTGTCAGTCAGTCTCAGTCTGCCAGTCTGCCAGTCAGCAGTCAGTCGCAGTCAGTCTGCCAGTCAGCCAGTCAGCCAGTCAGCCAGTCAGCCAGTCAGCCAGTCAGTCTGCCAGTCAGCCAGTCAGTCTGCCAGCCGCCAGTCCAGCAGCAGTCTGCCAGTCAGCCAGTCAGTCTGCCTGCCCAGTCAGCCGTCAGTCTGCCTGCCAGTCATCTGCCTGCCAGTCAGTCTGCCT